AAGGAAAGGAAACAAAGGAGAAGAGAAGAGAAGAGAAGAGAAGAGAAGAGAAGAGAAGAGAAGAGAAGAGAAGAGAAGAGAAGAGAAGAGAAGAGAAGATTAAGGGAAGAAGGGATGGGGGAGACACTCAAAATCTCGGGTACCCTCAGCAGTTTGGTAACCATCTCAAATGACCTTTATGTTTTATAGCCTTTGGCCTTTGACAAATAACTCAGTTTCTCAAAACCGAAAGTAGAAACTGCGCATATCTTGGAACTACCCAGGAACCAGGCCAAAGAAAAAGGAAGCCCTGAGTGAAGAAAAAACAAGGGCCCCACTCGCCTCGCCCAGGCTCACACGGGAAACACAGCTACGTTTCTGAACACAGGCTTTAGTCGAGCTTAATTTCAATGCCAATTATCATTTATCCCTCTTGCTTAAATTGCCTTCTATCTCGGCACCCCGGCTTCCTCATTTGTGAGGCGCAGGTGGCCCTAGGATGGACCTCCGAGGCACATTTTCCAAAGGAAGTGGCATAAAGTCCGTAAGGCCCGCACCCCGGGAGCTGCCACAGCCCGCAGCCCAGTTGCTGCGCGGTTTGGTTTGGTTTTGTCTGTTTTGCCACCGGGGATCAAACTCGGGTCCCCGCACTGGCCAGACAGGCGCGCGTGCCGCCGAGCTACATCCCCGGCCCCTCGCGGCGCCTTTCGGAGGCGAGGCGTGAAGAGGACGAGCTCAGCTGAGCGGGGAAGCCTCTCTCCGCACCCCACGCGGTGCTTCCCTTCCCACCCGGGTCGCGAGGCCCCCCGAGGCAGCAGACCTGGCAGGCGCAGATCCCTGAACCCCACGCCCCTCGACACAACCCCGCCGAGGCCGCACCCAACCTCCAGACCCGCGCAGCCTTCGCGCCCCAGTTCCGCACAGGGAGACAAGAAGAGCGCGTCCCGAGCGGCTCCACGGAGCAGTACGGAGCGACCCCACCAGGGCGAGGAGTGGGTGCCGGGGGGAGGGATACTCACGAACAATAGCGTCCACGCTGGGCAGGACCAGCATGGCCAGCAGGGCCAGCAGGGCCGGCAGGGCCAGCAGAGTTAGAGAACTACAGCGAGACATCGCGCAGGAACCCTCAACAAAGTGCAGCCCTGGGCCCCGCCGCTCCTTATATAGGCCGTGTGCCCCGACCAATTAGGGCCGGGCCCGCGGTGGGCGTCACCAGTCTCCAGGAAAGAGGCGCTGAGCAAAGTTAGAGAGGGGACTTTCCGTTTTTTTAGTTTCATTTTCCCATAAAGGCATATGATGTCTGCTACTGCACCGACTAGACTAGGTGGTGCTGTGTAGACCGGGACGTCCTCAGAAGAGAGATTAGCTTCTAGCTCGAGACACCCGCTACATAACACCTCCTCCGGGGCACCATTGCTTTCCCAGGTGGCCCCAGACAGGTTAACTTGTCCACCTTGCTCCAGCAAGTAAAGCGTCTAGGACCTGGGGCTCCAATTCCTGAAACCTGAAAGCAGAAAGATTGAGCTATCCTCGCAGAAACGTCCAGAACCAGGGAGAACCTTTCTTGCCTCTTAAATTCCTATCCGGAAAAGCTTTTGGGGAGGAAGTTCTTGTCCTCGCTATTGTTAAGTACCTTTCTTTGTTCTGTTGATGGGGATGGGGAGGACCGTCACAGTGAAAAGAATTCAGTCGGTGGTATTTCACGGCTCAACTTTGGCGGGTTTTCAAAAATGTGAGCCTAACTTATTTATTGCGGATTTTTCGCGTGTCTCAGGATTTTGCAGTACAGTACAGTATACGTGTGTTGTTAAAATTCCGTAGGTTTACAAGTTTAGAAAATAGTTAAGAACATTAGAAGTATTTTTAAACGTGTGGGAAAAGGTGCATAAAGCCGTAAAATATATCTAAATGCTATAAAAAATATAAGGTCACTACTTCACTGGTTTTCACTTATCGCGGGGTTTTCTGAAACGTGACCTCCACGGTAAGTGAGGGACCCCTGTAACTGCTTTAGAGATGCAGAGTTTCCAGACCCGTTAAGGACATGTTTCCCTTTGGCAGTACCAGCTAGAAATGCCTGATCCATCCGTAGCAGGTACCAGAGGACGGAATGGGAGTGATTGAGGAATAAGCTCCAGGAGGTAGAGTTACCCCCACGAATTGTGCGGAAGGGATTCCCCTGGCGTTCTCGTGGCATTATCATGACATTAATGCTCTGTCTACCTGAAAGGCAAAGAGCTTCACAGTTGCAGTGAGAGTTTGGATTGCTTCTGCTGTGGGCACCCCGCACCCCCAAAACGAAGTCAAACACCTCGCTATAAGAACGTGACACTGACAGGCAGATTCACTAAGAATACCTACGCTCTCACCACCATAAAGCAGGCACTGCCCTTACACAGTGACTAAGCCCAGGGGCCGCTACTGAGTGAGACAGAAGAAGAAGAGATGGTAGGGACCTAGAAGATCTTGGAAATCACCACGGTTTCGGTTGAAGGGGTTTGTGCTGGGCTTCCCCCAGGACGGCATTAAAAACTTCCGGATTTCTTTTACATAGAAAACTTTAACAGTCCCAATTGTGCAGACCAGGTCTACACTAGAGAAAGTAAACTACTTTCCACAAACCCAATGGAATAAGATAATGCACAGGTAATTATACAGTTCCTAGTATATGGCATTCAGGAACGTTTAAAAATACTAAAATCATTGTGATTTAACTTTTTTTTCTATGAGCCATTTCTATAACTCTGAAATATAAAAATAGTTTTTATGTATAAAGCTGCATGTTAAGACACTCTGCCATCCTCCCCCTCAAAAAAACTCATTTAATTTGTTTCAGGCCTGAAGCACTAGTGTTAAATTGTACTAGAAAATATTGGTGTTGAATTGTACTAGAAAGTGCTTTAGGAAAATAGGAAGAGACAGGGCTGTACTGGCCCCCAGCTCGTTATTTACATCACAGAGAAATTCTAAATTTAAAATCACTAAATATAGATTCCCACTACTGTCTTAGAAAAATCAATTTAGAAAGCAATTTGAGAGCTGCGGAGATAGCTCAGCGGTCTAAGCACCTGCCTAGGCAAGTGCAAAGACCCAGGTTTGATCCCCAGTACCACATGCCATTCCAGCCCTGCCCCTGGCACACCAGGCCAGCCACCAAGACCGTGGTAGGGCATGCCTGTTATCCCAGAACTGGGGAGGCTGAAACAGGAGGATCCCTATAAGTCAGAGCTGCATAGTGAGACCCTGTATCAAATACCTAAAACTAAAAAAATAAAAAAACACAGAAGGAAAATGCAGAATAAAAACAGTAACAACAATGAAGTTTTCGTTTTCAGTTTTCTGAATGTGGGGAACTCCTGTATTTTTTTCGTGTGTGTGTGTGTGTGTGTGTGTGTGTGTGTGTGGCCAGCTCAGTCCACCAGGGGGTGGGGCTGGCTGGCATGTGGTGCTGGGGGATTGAGCCGCAGGCCCTGTGCTTTGCTAAGCTTGTTCTAAGTAGGTGCTTTAGACCACTGAGCCATCTCACCAGCCCACCTATATTTTTTTTTCTAAATTGCCATTTAATATATGACTTGAATAATGAAGCCAAAAAAGAGAATAAAACTATTTTTTGAAAAACAAGAGTACTGGTGGGGAGTGGTGGCACATGCCTATAATTCCAGCATTTGGAAGGCTGAGGCTGGAAGACTGCTTAGAGTTCGAGGTCAGCCTGGGCTAAAAAGTGAGTTGACAACCAGCCTGAACTGCATAGCAAGATGCTGTGTCACTATGAAAAGAAAAGAATAAAAAAGAGAGAGAAAATTGTTTTACTATGTGGCAAACTCTGAAAATCTACAAAAATAATCTAATAGTGTCTCTCAGAGGTGGTCTTTTTAAACTGAAAAATTTACTTTTATTCTTATAGTTTTATACTGTGAAGTCAACACTTAATAATCCATTGTTCGCAAATAAACTATAAAACATTTAACCCTAAAACTGTGCATTAATATCCTATGACTTCAAATTAATGATTAATTAATTAAATTTCACAGACAGCACAGTCTCACCAATACAACATTTAGCCAGAAGTCCTACACTCATGCAAATTAAGCCTAGCCAATATCAAACTACTCTAAAGCCTGATTGTGTTCTTGGTCCAGGACACCTGCAATAAATTTGTATGTACACACTAAGACACAAAATTAAAGTAAGATCTGTATATTTTACAAAAAAAAAAAAACAAATTTTTTACAGCAAGTTAAAATTTGACATTAAAATTTTAACATTTAAATCTTTTTTTTCCATTCATTCTTTTTTTTCTTTCTTTCTTTCTTTCTTTTTTTTTTTTAAGATAGGGTCTTGCTGTGTAGTTCAGGCTGGCCCTCGATTCTCTGTAGTTTGTGCTGACCCTAAACTTGATGTAATCCTTCCATCTCAGCCTCCAGAGTGCTAGAATTACAAGTGTGTGCCAACATGCCTGACCTGAATTTTAACATTATGGTGTTTCATTAATTAAACTTTCAAAATGCCTGTTGAACTATGAATTGCAAATAACTTCATCTGATAGGATTTTTTTTTTTTAATGTATTTGGTTGTTGTAGTGTCTCACTATGCAGATCATACCCATAATGATCCTCCTGCTTTCAGCCTCCCCAGCACTGGGATTACAGGTGTGCACCACTATGCCCGGACTCTGACCGGCTCAGCCCACCCTGGGTATGGCGTGTGGTGCTGGGGATCGAATCTTAGTCTCTGTGCTTGCCTAAGCTTGCCTAAGTAGACACTTTAGTCCCCTGAGCTATGGGGGTTTTTTTGTTTGTTTGTTTGTTTGTTTGTTTGTTTGTAGGACAATTTCAATAAAATTCAATGCTTTATATGTACAAAATTTAGTTACATGGTAAACGCTCATGGCATAGGATTAAGTGCAAAAGTTGGACCACAAAACCATTTATAAGGGCCTCCTCAGTCGCTTTCTGTCTGTGTAAATACACATATCGTGGCATGTGTGAGTTAAAAAGGGATGAGAACAAAATGCTCCAAAGTGTTGACAGTTGTTCCTAAAATAGTCAATGTCTGGACAATTTTTTATAATTTCTTTAATTTTGGCTTTTCCAAATATTATACAATTAATGTGGGCTGGGGAGATGGCTCAGGAGAATAAGCGCCTGCCTGGCAAACGCAAGGGCCTGAGTTCAATCCCCAGTTCTGGAAAATAAATAAATAAATAAAATAAATAAATATAATTAATGTATCTTATGAAGCTTATATTTACTAATAAAGTTAATCATTAATTTGGACCCAGCACCCCATCAGCCAAGATGTTTTGAAATTCTGACTCATTTATGTTTAATAGCATGAGTTTCTGAGCCTCAATGACCATTAAAGTCACCTGAAGTAGGGTTTTCTTTTTTTTCTGAAGCAGGTTTTAATAGTAAAACCTCTAACCTACTCCCACTTAATCCTTGAATTGGGCTTCGGAAAGTTATTTCAGTTTGCTTATTGCTATCTTGCCAACCCTAAAATTGTTTTTAAAGTTCATCTTGCACTTCAAAATGGTTATGGAATTAATACAAATTTTAAAATGTCAAAGTATGATATAGATATAAATATAGATATAGATATCTTCTACTAGCCTGGGCTAGTATCTTTCACAATAAGATACCAAAAGAAGATACACAAAGCTACTGAATAAAATACATTTTTATAATCAATAGGTAGTTTCAGTCCATAATCAGCTGGCTCCAAGGTAGGGTGGTGTGGCAGAAAGGCATTGCAGAAGAAAAATGATTGAAGCCATCCACAAGGCAGCAAAAACAGCAAGGAATGATAGCAGCCCCATTTCTGTTCTTTATTGTTTATCCAGGCTACACATCCTTAGGGTGGGTAGCACTCACGTCTCAGGCGAGCCTTCCCACCACCCACACTCAGAACTGTGCCAAACCACTCTGTGGACTAATTTAGTAATTACACACCTTTAACCCCAGCACCACACACTAGATCCAGCCTCTTCTGAGAAGCACCACTTCTAACTACATGAGACGTGAGAAGGCATATAAAAATCTAGCTTTTAATACAGAAGCAACAGGAGAAATCAACCTTGAATTTTGAGACTACCCTAAATTCCTCTCTTTTGAATTCCAAAAACATATAGGAGTGGTGAACAAGGATCTATAAG